ATAAATATTCACATATACTATGGCTTCAATTATGGACATACTGCATTTCTATACTTTGTGTTGCTTCTCAGGCCTCATATATGATCGGTATCGTGCGGCAGTTCTCCTTCTCCTCTGCACTTCAGAGAATGAGCGTGGTTGTTCGTCAGATTGGAGAAAGACGGATGGACGCGTATCTGAAAGGAGCTCCGGAGGTGGTGGCCAGTTTGTGTAAGAAAGAGTCAGGTCAGTGGAGCATCCATCTGTTATTATTATCATACTTTTTCCACATTCAAATCCATTTTGGATTGAAGTTGCTTGTTTTCTCTTTTCACAGTACCAGAAGATTTTGCAGAGGTTTTGGAGGATTACACCAAACAGGGCTTCCGGGTCATTGCTCTGGCACACAGACGGCTGGAATCCAAACTTACATTTCATAAAGTGCAGAACATTAACAGGTGATGTTTATGTTGATATTCTTTTTATCCTTTTACAATATGTGCGATAAGCCATAGGTGCTCATTTAATGTGCCTTAAATAGGCCGAAAAAGTGTTTTTGCTTGCAAAAACGTGAGACGCAATGCTTGGGGGGAAAAAAAAAGTGCAGCATAAAGCATAAGGGGATCCGGACACAGCCACTGAGTGCCTATAAACAGAAAATAGCAACGGGGGCCCCGCCTACGAGTTTTTCTGTTTGGTCCACTGCTTTGAAACTGACATTGAGCAGCGCTGCGTGTGAAAGCTGAAGATCTTTTAACTTGACTTGATCTTTATATTGCTCGGGTATATTTCTGAAAATAGCCAAATAAATGTTATATTTATTCATATTATCCTTTTTCTGTTATATATTCGCATGCAGTAGTCAACAGATTACAAATGAATAAACAAAAATAGCAAAGAATATAAAAACAAATAAACAGGGGGCTAATAATTCAGGGCCTTTAATAATTCTGACTTCTCTTTAAATGCAAATGAGTATTACTTAGTTACTGTATTACTTTGAGCATAATGACAATATACGCAACCAGGCATTTAAATAGATCACGCTTTGTTGTTTGTCATCATGTGCCTCTGTATGGTTGATGTCATTTTAGATTCGATTTGTGTTTTTCTACAGGGATCAAATTGAGAAAAATATGGATTTTCTGGGTTTGATTGTCATGCAGAACAAGTTAAAAACTGAAACTCCAGGAGTGCTGGATGATCTGCGACGTGCCAACATTCGCACCGTTATGGTCACAGGTACAGGAAACATTTTGCATTCATGTCTGTTCAGAAGACCATGTCTGTTCAGAAGACAGTTCCTGAATAATTCATTCATAAGGGCAGTTTAAATTGTGATATATAAAATATAGAACATTAAAGTCTTCAAATGTTAGGGGCAAATATGTACAGTTAAGATAACATTATTAGCCCTCCTGTGAAACTTTTACAGATAATTACCAAGTGATGTTTGATGAAACACGGACATTTTTCAAAACATTTCTTCTGGAGAAAGTCTTATTTCTTTTAGTAGGCTGGAATAAAAAAAATTTAAGCAAAACAGCTAAGGTCAATATTATTAGGCCCTTTAAGATATATATATATATATATATATATATATATATATATATATATATATATATATATATATATATATATATATATATATATGTATATGTATATATATATATATATATATATATATATATATATATATATATATATATATATATATATATATATATATATATATATATAATACATATATATATATAATACACATGTACATATACACATATATACATATATACATATACACACATATATATATATATGTATGTATGTATTAAAACTGCATAGTTTATTTTAATCAAGTGTAAAGAATTATATTGTTATTATTGTATTATTTGTGTTAGTAGTTGTGTTGTTGTTGTTGGTATCAACAACAACAACAACAACTAATAATAATATCACTAATATAAACATTATCCATATTAATAAAATATATTGTTATATTTGTGCTTTAAATAATATTTTCTCTTCTTACTACTGTACTACGTCTACTATCTCTAAGAGTAATACTTAAAAATATATATAATTTATTATGGAGACAAAACATCACTGTAGTTTATGCAGTTTTATTAACCCTAGTATAAACAGATCAAAAGAAAATGAAATAGAAGTCAAATAATTTGGATTCATTTAAGTCTCCTATTCACCTTGTCGAAGCAGACGAGGTTGAGCTGCCCGCAGATGTTGATTCTCTGCGGGCTGATGGAGAAGATGCCCACTTTCCTGAGTCTCCTCTGAGCGTAGACTATGCCCGCGGTCATTGCTGCCGGAAGAGCAGGAGGAACAGTGATGGTGATGATGTCCAGAGACTTCACGATGATCTCCTTCACTGGTTCCTGCAGGAAACACATACAACAACACTTTTATACACTATATTCACTTGCACAGCATACAAATATAAATTTAGAGCAGTGGTCCTCAACCTTTTTATCACCGCAGACCGGTCAACAATTGACAATTTTACCGCGGATCAAAGGGGTGGGTGGGTGAGCGGTGTTTCATAGGTTGTGGGTTGCTAGGTGAACATCAACTGTTTTCTCAGAGGATGACAAGCTAACAAAACATTCCAGTTACTCTGATACAAGTTTTATTTATGGAGAAAATTACAAAGTGCTGCAGGGTTTGGGTGTTAGTCTAAGATAATTAGTCCACCGTATATTCCATACAAGCTGAAGCTGATCGGTCAATTCTCATCACAGGACTCAAGGTGCGCTCGCAGAATTTATTTAACTGGGTACGTCTGGAAGGTAAAAGCATATCACGCTGCTTTTGCGTGCAAGCCACACACCTCCATTGGAAATAACGAACTTGCGCGAACTCCAGAATATACGTGATATTCGATTGGCCCCTACAAGACCACCGTCATTTGCGATCTCCATTAGTTGATCTTACACAGACATGCTGGATTCACCTGATTTGTAACTGTTTGCTGTTACTTTGTATATTATGTATACAAGTGTTTATGTTTTCTAAGATAATTTTTGGTTGTTGAGAAAATAAGTTACATGTATTATTTGTGAATTTATTTGGTTTGGGACTTTCATTTTGAAATCTCTGCAGTTGTATGAAATGGCTGACTGACAATGAAGTTATCACTTCCTGTTAGCAAATGATCGGCCAACATGAAATATTTGCATGTGCTCGTCAATGGATGTATTGACTTCAACATGGACTTCAACAAGTGATTTAAGGAGCATTCAGGACTATTTCTTTCATATAGCATGCAGCCAACGATTTGAATTATATTTGTATTTTGTGTTTGAAGTTTCAAAAGTTTGTTTGTTTGTTTACGTATGTTTTGATTTGTATCAAGTACATTTGTTTTGTGTTTATTGCTTCGTTTTCACGGTGGATTTGGGGGAAAAAGCCAACAAATGAACCAGTAAACCACTTGTGCTAGCGTATGCTTGAGGGAAATTACATGATTTGTTGACAAATGGGTTGCTGATCTATTCCTTGGCAGTTTGTGGGCCCTTCACGGTGTCTTTTCCACTTAGCAAAGAAACTTTCTTAAAACATCTGTTTCCTACTCATTTTGCTTCTTGTGGGTTAAATTTGGACGCTCAAGTGACCGAAATGTAACCAAGAGAATATGGTCGTTTTTTAAAATAAAAAAAATAAAATAAAAAAGCATTCAAACTCGGATAATAAATAAAAAAGGAAATAATTAATGATTTCTTGTGTGACCGGGCCCTGTGGTTGGGGACCCCTGATTTAAAAGTACAATATTTAAATAAATTATTTTTAAAAAGTCTGAATTAGGAGATTTAAACCCATAATTCCAAAAGAAAAAAAGTCAAAATGTTTTTGTGGTCATTCAAGGTGTAATTACAGATTTTCAAAAAGTCATAATTGATGGATTTGAATCAGATATTAAAAACAAAAAATCATAAATGCATAAAAGAAATTTCACATTTTTCACAAAAAAAACTCAAAACTATTAAATGTAAATTCAGATTTTCACAAAAGTAATAAATGTAAATCCAGATGTTTAAAAAATATATAATTGCTAAAACAAAGTTATGATTATTAGATATATATTCAGAAATAAAAAAACATAATTGTTAGAAGTGAGTTCAGATTTGTTACATGTAACATTTTAAAAAGTCAATGGTCCAATGTAAATTCAGATGTTAAAAATAATATTAATTGCTAGATGTAAATTAAAATAGAAAAAAGTCATAACTGCAAGATGTAAATTCAGATTTTAAAAAAGTAAATAATACAAGATGAATTTAACAAAACTCACAATTCTAATAAAAAAAAATTAGTAATCAATTAAAAGATATAGACCCAGAATTTAAAACTGGGGATGTTGGGAAATTACAAGATTTAAAGTCAAAATAACAAGAAAAACAGAACACAAAAGCATAAAATTACTAGGTGTAAAATCAGATTTACAAGGAAAAAAAAAAACAAGTGGTAAACTCAGATGTACAAGACTTGATGGTACACTGAGAAAAACATGATGCAAAATCAGAATTAAGAAAATAAATCTAATGCTAAGAGGTGGATCTACACAAATTCAGTCATTTCAAACTGCAAGTAAGCAAGAGCAAAGTCACTTAAAAACCCTGCAGAGAGGTAATGATGGATAAAAACCTGATTTAAGATCTTCATGACCAGAGAGTAGATAAAGACAACGCTGGCGACGGCCACCAGACACAGCAGAAAGAGGTAAGCGTCTCTATACAGCTTGAAGTCTGTGGGCTTTGGGTACAGGATGGACCGGATGAGTTGCCCTTTAGCTGTGCTGAAACCTAGAATTCAAAAACACACACATATCAGTGGAGAGGATTATGTCAGACAGTAAAACTAACTGCCCTTTTATTTATTTTTTTATTATTAAAAAAGAAAAAAAAATGTTGAAGGAAAAAGTCAGAATTTATAGCTTAAGTAAAAAAAATAATATATATATATATATATATATATATATATATATATATATATATATATATATATATATA